TACCTTGCATTTTATCATCTTACGCTAAATGTGACCTTCCCTGCGACGCGTCGGTAGATTTCTCACTTTCATAATATATACAGGGTGTCCGGAAAGTTGAAACTTTCCTCCTCTTTCCAACGTTTGTAATAACAAAGCTGATATGCGGTCAAAGAGAGGAAAAGTAAAAAAGTAACGAAAAGATACTCGCCGTTCATCGAAAATATATTTAAAGTACAGCTTTCAGTTGGGAGTATTGTTCAAAGTTGTCTGCGATATATTCACAGACCCATGTATGTGCTCGACATAGCCAAGCATCGGCGTAGACTTTCAAATTGCTAAATGCATACTCGTCGTTCGTCAATCGAGTTCACCTCAGTTTTATACATCAAATTGTTCATTTCGCCCCAAATGAAGAAATAAATCTGGACGGATCTTAAAAACGATCTGCATGCACTCGTGAAGCCTCGGTAGCATTTCGAAGACTCTCACCGTAAATTAAAATAATATGAACAACTCCGATATTGCTGTAAAAGTGTGCCCTTTTTTTAGAACAGATGTGTAAAGATTTTGTTTGTGATCTGATCGAGGTGCAGGACCCGATTAGCTTTTGTTTAGGTTTGAATGATTTTGCGGAACATAACATTTCGGTAATCGTACACTTTGGTGTATCTGTTACTAGAAAAAGATCGCTTATTATTCCAAATATATACGCCGTGTAAAAGAGAGTCCCAACTTCGAGGACACCCTGTAGATACTTATGCAATGGCAGATGCGAAGCGACAAATCCTCATCGAGTTATCCATTAAGCATTGTAGTGCAGCTTATTAATATGTATGTAATCCAGCTCCCAGCGAACTGTCGAGAATCATGATTACATGTGTACCTATCACGAAGATAATATCTACCAAGAAATTCCATTATTTATAATTTTTTTTATACATATATTTTTTTTTATTAAGATTATTTTTCGAAAGATAATAGCAGTACAATGATATACTACCGTACTTTTAGATAAAAGGAAGTAACTTTCTTTTCTGCGTTTTTTAAATTTTCACTCCAATACATTTCTTTTATAATCACTAATTACAAAATTGATCACGTTATTCAACAAAAATAGCTAGTTTTTCACTTTGTCAAATATCTCTTATTAACTATATTTCCTAAGCATAAAAGCAGTAAATCAAACAAAAATCAGTAGTCTTATTAATCTCTGTATGATGCACGTATACCCTGTTTCACGAGTATCGATCACGGTACAATGACAGCTGATTATCTAGTTATATCTCAGAAATTCCCCATATCGGCACAAGACACATAATTCTGACGGATGCGTCAACGCCAGGTAGACAGAGCTGTGTTTTGATTTTCGAGATTCATTTTGTATTCGCTAACGTCTCTTTTATTTAGAAAACTTCATTTGCATACAAAAAACAAAATGCTACAAACAAGTTTTACTAGATTTACACCCGATTCATTATTGCCAACGATTCTTTTGCTCCGAAAGAACAATTTTGAAAAATATTCTTCGTTTAACATGCTGTTTTTAGGTTATCCATGTATTTTTGTTGATTGATTATTAGATGTTGAAAAAGTTTACTTTTGTGCTATTTGTGTGAATTTCAGTATGAATAAATTAAAATAAAAATAAAATAAAAATCTGCATTACTGCGTTTTTCCTTTGAAAAGTAATCTAAACATATTCTGAAAACTACGAAAAAAGGCAATTATCTCATTTGTTTTTGCAGAGTATAAAAGCAGTAAATCACATGTGCTGCATGCATGTACTGCTTTTTGATTTAGAAGAATTAAAGATAGAATGTAATTTATTTTAGGCCTCAAGAACAATTATGATCCAAAATCACATTCAAGTGGCTCCCCATAAAAGTCATGAAACTTTGGAATATCCGTTCACTTTTCTTCTGTCATAATAATACTATGTATTTAGCACGAAAACATCCACTCAATTTTCTCAGATTTCGATGCTTACACGTTACTGCCTTTTAACCTAAGTATGGCAGTATAGGATCTGTCTTCACGGCCAACTTCCAACCCTCTGGGAAAATGCGGGAGTCCTAGAACGTCTATACCCCATTTCACGAGTATCCATCATGGTAGAATGACAGCTGGTTATCTAGTAATATTTCAAAATTCCCCATATCGGCAAAGGACACATAATTCTGACGGATCCGTCAATGCCAGGTAGACAGAGCCATAGTTTGTTTTGGTTTTTTGTAGGCTACAGATTCATTTTACACTTGCTAAAAGCTCTTTTATCTAGAAAACTTCATTTGCATACAAAAAACAAACCAGTTTTACTAGATTTACACCAGATTCATTATTGCCAACGTCTCAGACTAACACAAAAATGTCACTTGCTGATCAGGTGTTCACCTCAGTAGACGTCAAAGCGTGATGGATACTCGGAAATAGGATGTAGACAGAGTCATATTTTGTTTTAGTATTTGTACGATATATTCATTTTGAACATGCTAAAAGATCTTTCATTTAGAAAAGTTCATTTGCATACAAAAGACAAAACGCTACACATTTTTTTTGCTATATTTACACCTGATTCATTATAGCCAACGTTGCAGACTAACACAAAAATGTCGCTAGCTGATCAGCTGTTCACCTCAGTAGACGTCAAAGCGTGATGGATACTTGTGAAATAGGGTGTAAAGGAGAATTGGAAATATTTAAATGAAAAGATATAACAATTAATATCTACAGTATATTCAGATAAGAGATAGACCGGATGTAAACAAAAGGTTCGGGTGATTTTCACGCTAACGCCGCCGTCTCGACGTAAAACAGGAGCCCTCATTGGTCAATTCGCAATTAAATGCCTATGCCGAGCGGCAGAGCAGTCGTATCAAGGCAGAGTCACATTCAGGTTCAGACGTGTTACGTATGTCGTGTGCATCATTGCAATTTGATATTTCTTTGGACGTTTTCGTTTGTTATCTTATTAAGTTGTTGAGTTTGTCGTTGTTATTGTTATACCTTGTTATTGATTGTTATTGCTATCAACTGCTTGCGCAAAATGCCCAGTAGTACAGATACTGCCGATGAAGTTGTAAACTCCTGTAATCCACCTAGGAAACGCTCTAAAAAAAGACACCTGAGTGCAGAAAAGAAATTGTTGTGAAGGTTTCTCACAAAGTTGGGGTGTGTCGCGCATCAGTGTTTAATGTGTTAAGACAATACAAAAAAAATCACACCTTTTCTGAGCCAATGACCAGTAAACATCGCAAAAGTATTGTTAAATCATTGGATGAAGCTGATAAGCATGCGATTAGGAGGAAAGTGCATGAATTCTTCTTTAGGAATGAAATACCTACTATAGATAAAGTACTGCAGGAGGTAAATGGAGATACAACGTTGCCAAATTTCAAACGATCAACTTTCCATGCGTTACTGAAGCATTTAAATTTCAAATGGAAAAAACGGGGTCGTAATAGTTTACTACTGGATAGAGAAGAAATTGTGCTATGGAGGAGGGATTATTTAACAAAAATTGGGAAATATAGAAATCAAAACAGGAAGATTTATTACCTTGATGAAACGTGGGTAAACGCAGGACACACTACAAGTAAAGTATGGGTTGATGATTCTGTAACTTCATCCAGGAGGGCCTTTCTAGATGGACTGTCCACCGGATTAAAAAATCCAGCAGGTAAATACGAGTAATAGACAACAATCGGATGTTTTTCAAACCTTGGGAACAAGGTTCTAAACATTAATTCCAGGGGGCAGATAAAACATATTACAAGTAACAAAACTTTTATAACTTTCGATAAAATGCGTGGATGTTTTATTGTCATTTTCATTTGTTAGAACTTTTTTAAGCCATGTTTTATATTGTGTACCGTTCCTAATATTTCTAATCATTTTAATTCATACTTTAAGCTTTATAAAGTTATAATTTGTTAATATTAATATTTGCGCGTATTTCAGGTTCCTGATAATTCATTTTTTAAAGGTTTATAACTTTAAATTAAATTGTGAAGCGCTGAGTAATCATACGACGTTCAATATTCTTTCTTTCAATATGACTAAATAATCCCAATTATAGCAATCTGATACTCATGTCTCAATGTTTTTTCGCTGAATGTGATGAAAACATTTGAAAAAGGTTCGCTTATTGAAATAAATCTACACCAGTTAGTACTTCGATTTCCAGGTAAAGGGAAAAGGCTCATTATCTGCCATATTGGCAGTGAGGATGGATTTGTTGTTGACGGTCTGTGGTGCTTTGAGTCTAAGAAAACTGGAGATTACCACGAGGAAATGAATGGCGAATCGTTTGAACAGTGGTTTTCAAAAATTTTACCGAACTTAGAGGAAAACGTATTAATTGTGTTGGATAATGCGCCTTATCATTCTCGAAGAATGGAGAAGGTCCCAACAACGGCTTCAAGGAAAGTTGATGTTCAAAATTGGCTCCGCTCGAAAAATATCAACTTTGAAGAAGCAATGCTGAAAGTACAATTATTAAGAATTGTCAAGGATCACATGGCGGAATATCAAAAATACGCCATTGACGAAATGGCAGCAAGTCAAAATAAAACTGTGCTCCGTTTACCTCCATACCATTGCGAGCTCAATCCCATTGAGCTCATATGGGCAGAGGTTAAAAATTATATAGCTAAGCACAATACAACTTTTAAATTTTGTGACCTCAAAGGACTTTTCAAAGAAGCACTAGAATTAATAACAGCGCAAAAATGGGAAAACTGTATTAAGCACGTGAAAGACAAAGTTGAAAAGAGAATGTGGGAACTGGACAATATTTTAGAGGAACAAGTCGAGCCATTCATTATTGACGTTGGTGCTTCAGGCAGTAGCGATGATGAAAGCTCATCAAGCTCATCTTTCCAATAAAAGATGTCGTTCATCAAATTCGGTAAGTTATAAGTAATTATAAAGCTACTGTATTTTTTAATTAATTATTGACATTTTTGAACCCATTTTGGCAAAACCTATTCAAGAATCTACTTTCTGACAATGTTCAACCATGCACATTTTTTTACGTTTTGAACGTTTTAATTTGGTTACATATTTACCTAGAAATCAAAAAATATACTAATCAATATTCTAAAAGCAATTTTAAGAGATATACGATTATTTTTAATTTAGGCTAATTTAAACGCCATTTTGAGATTATATTCGACTGTATTTCACCAAACATCAGGCGGCATCCGAAGCTGGAAATCGAAGCGAAAATTTTGAAACCCTTATGTATATTTACATCATTATATATTTCTTACCCCACCCCCACATGGTCCTATATCCATCACCAATCGTATACACATCGAATTGTGCTAATTTACTACAAAGTTACGCAAAGAGGCATCTACTATCTAAAATATGTACTGCGTGACTCTTAATACGTCCCTGCCGAATGTTACAGCGTTCGATGATCACGTGGTCTTGTTTATGTCCGGTCTATCTCTTATCTGAATATACTGTATGTTTATTCATCATTTTTATCTTAATGATATGACAACTAATATCATAGAGATACTTAAATAGGCAGTACACAATCATCATAATTAGAAGCTTATATACTTGTAAGGTTATTGGGAATCACTTGATGAACTACTGCTAGAATCTGTGGACATAACCTCAACATCTTCGTTTTCTTGCTTGTGGTTTCGTGTATCCATTGGAACTGTGCCCTGACCAACAGTAATGTGCATCTCACCAGATGGATGCCAGGCGAATTGGTTCTGCTGAGAAGCTGGAATCTCTGGAAAAAAAATTGAAATGTGTTTAGTGTATAATCCTGAGATTATCTCAACTGTATTAATAGACTAATTTTGATAAAATTAGCGAATTTGTTGAACTTGATTTTTTTATGTTCGTGTTTTTGATACAATGCCCAAATTTCAAATTGAGACACAGATCAAACTGAGGAACGATACATACCCCCAGGATGTCCAGTTCTATGCAAATCTGACATGCTATTCTGTTGGGCTAGTAAATGGCCATTGATAGGATCACTCAGTCTTCCAAGCAATCCTAACCTCATTTCAATATCGGTAGGATATGGCCTTCTAGGGTCACCTTGCTGCCAAGTCAATGGTGCACATATTGCATTCGAAGCACTTATCCTATGTGCAAACTTGATCAATTCTTCTGAATGTACAGGCCTCTTATTGGCCCTAGCTATCGAAGCTAACTTTTGATTTGCTTGATATATAGCTGTGGATAAAATTTGTTCAGCTTCCTTCAGCTGCCTTTGCAGATCGTTGATGTCCTGATCTTGTCTCTCGACTTCAGCTTTCAGGTTGTCCAGTTTTTTATTGATTTGGGCTTGCTCCGCTGCAAGCTTTAGGGTTTCTTTCAGTTCGTTGTCTTTGGCTACTAAGAGTTCTGTGAGTTGAGCATATTCTGGTCCGCTGAGTTTAGCGCTTTTAGGGGCAATAGCGTTCTCAATTATCTCTCTGTAAGTGTAAGAAATAACAGTAAAATCCAGTATATTCAGGAAATTATAGAACTACTTACTTTGAGATCAGCTCAATGTCGTCTATTATGTACAAAAGCTTCTCTTTCGTACTAATTTGAGACATTCCAAATTTTATTAATTAAAAAAATTAAACAAAACCTATATTTGTTTTATTCAAAATTTTGATTTGTTGTTGTATCTAACCTAACAAAAAAGGTTGACGCTTGGTATACCTCGTGTGCCATCTATGAGAGTTAAATACCTTTTCGTTGTTCGCCTATTACAGTTTTCTTAGAAATGACACCCCCTTTCCACCAGAGAGCACAAAAAAGCAGAAGGAAAATGTTCTGTCTAGACTACAGGTATCACAATTGCGCCGAATCGGACCTTTTTACCAACAATTAAAACAGTTGTCATGGAAGACGTATTTGAATGCCCAATTAAAAAGAATAGGTCCGAGTAAAGATAACATGGCCATGCAAGACAAGTATTGAAATATACTCTACTAGGCTCTAGAAGACTATCCGTAACGAAATTTCTCTCTAAATCGTTACACGCCGCTTGAAAAATGTAAATGAAGATTGGAAAACTGCCGCTTTGACGTACTAAGTGACTCTATTGTTACCCCAGGATAGACATACGTTTTGGCAGTTGACCATGTCATTTTTGTCACCTAGATTGCAGCGTTGCCAGCTCATCGAACAGTTGTGCTACCTCTGCTATTTTGCTAGAATGTTATAAAAAAAATTGAACAAAATATTGAAAGATGCCAATGGAGACATATAAAATTTGAGACGTAGCAATAACAATGTTTGGCAAAAAACTAAAAAAAGCAGTTATTTACATTTATGTTAATGTCTCTGAACACGTTTATAAATGCCCAGTTTTAGAGGATAAAATACTTCCAACAATTGATAAGAACAATGTTTTATTATATAAATATGTTTATCAACTATTTCATCTAAAATTACATGATCATTAATAGAAGTAGATTTTCGTTTTCTCTATTATTTATCAGGGGAATATGGTTTTTTAGTGACTGCATTCGTACTTGGGTGAGGAAAACCTCAACCGTCTCGACTAAGATTAATTGTATCAGGTGAAGAAAAATCAAGTCGTTCCACAATTCTGGCTTCATTTGACAATCGAAAATCGCCAGGATGCCACAGTTATTAACCTAAAAAAAGTAGCATTGAAGTAACGGTTTATACGAGGATCACTTTATAAAGAAGAACCGTCTTGTAATCCAGTCGGCGAACTACTGAAAAAAAGTAGCTGAAGCCTGTGAGTGCTGTACCTCGCTGCGCCGATACGGTATGGCCGGGTGGTACAGCCACGCCCCAGCTCCTACTCCGCGCGTCTGCTCGCGGTCAACGTAAACATCATCGCTTCGTGATACTGTCAGATAAGAAAACGCAGACGCGCGGAGTGGGGGCTGGAAAGGGGCGTGGTTGTATTACCCGCCCGTACTGTATCGCCACATCGAGGTAAAGCAGTACAGCACTCACCTCACCCGCTTCAGTCTCTCGGCAACCGCCGGTCGGCGTAGCGGCATGTCCACGCGTTCATAGCTCAGTGCAGAGCTCTATTCGGTTAACCTATTTTTTTTCCAGTAGTAGTTGTTCACTATAGCGTGCTCGATTGTTCTTTGGTGATTTAGTTTTGTGACATGGGTGTCAAGTGTCTCCAAAGTGGAAATTATGACTACCTCCAACTCTTCTGAGGAAAACAGGATATATGTGTAGCAAACTGGGTGAGCCTCGCATACCCATCTACTTGTGTGTTAGGGTTTACATCCTGTTTTTTTAAATAAATTGTGCACATTGCATACACTGAGAGAAGTCATATACTGAGGGATTTGAGAAAAACTAAAATTTGCCCGAATCGTTTTTATTTTTGCCTGGCTTTATTTTAAGAAATGTCAAAAAACTAAAAAATAAATAAATAATAAAATTTAGGCACTGCACGATGGTGTTTTAAAGAAGTACTACCCCGTATACATTTGTTTTTTTATAACATTCTAGCAAAATAGCAGAGGTAGCACAATTGTCCCATGAGTTGGCAAGGTCACCTGCCAAAACGTAAGTCTATCCCGGGGTAACGGCGGAATCATATAGCGGCAGCTTTGCGATCTTCATTTGCATAATATTAATAAGTGTTGTGCAACGATTTCGAGAAAAAATTAACTACAGATAGTCTAGTAGGGTATATTTCAATAGTTGTCTTGCGTGTCTATGTTATAATTACTCGGGCCGTCCCACCTCAAATATGAACGATACGAATACCTGAATACCGTACAAACATTAGTCCCCATCTCTAGTGTTCACTTAACCTAAAAATTGTTGTGGTGACATGAAAGTAAGCAGAGTTTAAAATTGTTTGTAAACATGTTTAAAAACACGTTTCAGAGTGGTTTTTTGTCAATTTTGTACAGTATAGGCAGCAAGCCTTTGCAAATCTGGGACAAGAAGTGTAAGAACGGACATATTAAACGCATAACAGATGAAGACATCCAGTCTTTGGTTTTGGAGCTCATCGGTTGTAATGTGAGCACTACGTATATCACATGTCCAGCGGACCCCAAGAAGACCCTCGGCATAAAGCTGCCCTATCTGGTGATGATTGTGAAAAATTTAAAGAAGTATTTTACATTTGAAGTTCAGGTATGTAAGACCATTGATCAAACAATAATTTGAATAAAATAATCAATATTTGTTAGTTCTTTGTGTTTCTTACGAGTCATGATTACATTACTGTAGCTATGGCATCCAATAATGTTGTACATTTTCAATTCGTTCTATGTAATCAAGGCAAATATCTATAGATTTTTTGGTCAATTTGTGAAAAGGTGTTGAAGAGATTCTCTACAAACATATGGATGGTGACAAGATCCTTGCATCTATTTTTTCACACAAAGGCATAAGAAACATTTTTGATTTATTTGTGTATAGATATTTTACTGCTAATGGGAATCAAACTTTGCTCCTTTTTCCAAAAGAAGTTTTGTAACACTTAACCCTACATACAATAAACTATGCTGGAAAAACTAGGGTTCAAATCATTAATGAAAAATGGCTGGTATAAGCAAGCTAGAATTTTACTAAAAGATATTGCAAAAAACTGGCAGACATGGAACAATTAGTATTATTATTTCTAATTTTCATTCATTTAGGGTTGAGGAAAGAGGTTGCATTCTGCTTGCAATAAAATAAATTGATGAAACAAAAAGGACCTTTGAACATGTATGTTTTCATTGTGCACATCTTTTGGTTTTAATTAAATGAGAATACGAGTTGGTTCTGGTGTAATAGCTATGAATTTCATTATTTCTACACAGAGGTGTTGCTAAACGATTAGGTGAAGTCCCTTTTACAATTTTGAATATAAACTCCAAAGTGATTAAGTAAATATGTTGGCTTACAGACAAGCACTGAAAGAGTGTTTAACTTGTCGCCTATTCTTATGTATTTGTTGCATTGCAAAACTACCTACAGACCCCTATTTTATAGTTTTTGTTGAATGCATATTTTCTTCTTGCCAAAGAAATACAATACAGATGAATAGTACTGAAAATGGGGCTATTATTTTATTATAAATATATATATATATATATATATATCTCTTCCATAACTCCTGTTTGTAAATTCTGAAAAACAATACTTCTATGAATATTTAAACTAGGTATATTTAAATTATTTTGGGGGGGTGCTAGAAAATGATTCTCAATGTGGGAAGTACATAAAATATATCTTTATAGAAGACAAAGATTTCATGGCATCCTATGCATGTTTCTTTAGAAATAAACTAAATCTGTAAACAGTATCTTTCTTTAATCCATATTTGAATCAAATAAATATTAAAATGTTAACAGACTGTATTTTCCGACAAAAGAGCCATACACACTATGTCAAACAATAAATTTATTTCCCTTCTATAGGAATAAAATTTCATGAATCTTCAGAATCAGTATATTCATGTTAGTACATAGTCATGCCATAAGTTCTGTCCCTCGTTTTCAAACAAGTGTAGACCTGTTAATACTTGTCCGATTGTTTATATTGTGGTGTCAGTTGATTAAGCGCTTTTCGGGTAATTACATATACCTCAGTTTGTATTGATCTCTAGAAGCATAACGATGGAGTGGGGCAAGGCAGAGAACCGTATTGCAGTGATAGCTTTACATAAGTGTAATCACAGTGCTAGTCAGATTTTTGAACTCTTACGCGGCCTTCAAATATCGCGTAAATTTGTGTCTAGGACCATTCAGCGGTACAATGAGACGTCCTCTGTTGATGACAGGCCAAGAAGCGGAAGACCTCGTCAAGTAAGGACTCCAGCAGCCATCAAAGCCGTAAAAGCCAGGATTCAAAGGAATCCACTCCGGAAGCAGAAGATCCTATCCAGGGAAATGAAGATTCCTGTCCGGACGATGTCGCGCATCATTAAACAAGACCTAGGGCTAGGGGCTTACCGGAGACGTACGGGCCAGCGACTTACGGCCACCTTGCGACACATCAGGGCGACAAGATCCAAGAAGCTCTTGGAGAGGTACGCAGCTGGGGGATTCCGAAAGATTTTGTTCACGGATGAGAAAATCTTCACCATAGAAGAAAAATTCAACCGACAAAATGACAAAGTGTATGCAAGGAGTTCACAGGAAGCTTCGGAGATCATTCCGAGAGTTGAGAGAGGCCACCACCCTGCGTCAGTCATGGTTTGGTGGGGGGTGTCCTACGAAGGGGTCACTCAGCTCCATTTCTGTAAACAGGGCGTGAAAACAAAAGCGGCAAACTATCAGAGCGACATACTGGATCCTATCGTCAAGCCTTTAAGTGGTACATTGTTTGCCAACCAACACTGGGTCTACCAGCAGGATTCCGCCCCCGCTCACAAGGCTAAGAGTACGCAGCGCTGGCTGGAAAGCAATGTGCCAGAGTTCATTGCTGCGGAAGATTGGCCCTCAGGGAGTCCGGACCTCAATCCTTTAGACTACAAGTTGTGGGACCTGCTAGAGCAGTTGGCCTGCTCCAAAGCCCACCGTAATATCGAGTCCCTGAAAGCGGATTTGATCCGATCAGCGGCAGCTATTCCTTTGGAAGCTGTGCGTGCAGTGATAGATGAGTGGCCCGCGAGATTGAAGCAGTGTGTGAAGGCCAAGGGGGGACATTTTGAATAAAACTGTTTGATTATGAATTCTAAAAATGTTGTCGAATAAATAATATCTTTCATATAAATATATCTTATCTTGTTTCATTTTTATCATGAGATTATCATGGGACAGAACTTATGGCACGACTACGTATAAAAAAAACGTAATTTCCAAACACTTGTGAAGGTGAAATCAGGCTTTCCTTGCATGAGCTGCCGCGCCCCTATGTCCAAAAATTGTAATTTTATATTCTTAGATCTCTAATTCAGTCTTTTCCATTTATTTGTTCTAGATATTGGATGACAAGAACGTCCGTCGGAGATTCAGAGCAAGCAACTACCAATCAACAACCAGGGTGAAACCATTCATATGCACGATGCCAATGCGTTTGGATGAAGGCTGGAACCAAATCCAGTTCAATGTTGCTGACTTTACCAGAAGAGCCTATGGCACAAATTACGTGGAAACACTCCGCGTGCAAATTCACGCTAATTGTCGTATCCGGAGAGTGTATTTTTCTGACAGACTATATTCTGAAGATGAGCTGCCTGCTGAATTCAAGCTTTTCCTGCCTATACAGAATAAGACGCGAACGGCTGTAGCACAATAGTATTTTTAGGGATTTTGAGAATAAATTTATTCTTGGACTGCACTATTGATTATAAGACACGCGAGTGAAATTGTATATTTTGGCTGTGGCACAAAGTAATATGCTAATAAACATGTCAAACACCATTTTTGATTTTATTAGACTGTATCCTTTAATCATCTGACGACATCAACTAGTGTTGTTCAAGATGCTGCCTAAGTAAATTTCACACCTTGTGAAAACCTCTCGATCATCAGATGCTCAGGCTGAAACCTTTAAATTGTAGGAATTAATATTTGCTACTAGGATAACAGAAACACGAGATATCGAATATGCACCTGATATAAAACTGGCGGGAAATTAAACTCGTTAAGACCTCTGGTCGCTTGTGTGATCATGATAATGTTTTTAGAAACACCCACGATACTCCATGCTGAGTTGGCCTCGAACTGAGATTTGGTATCAGGACAACAGGATGTATCGAATCTGTAATCTGCTCCAGATATTAAATGTGCGGGAAAAGTTGAACGCCTCTCGTCGCTTCCGCGAGATCCTAATACCAGGTCGTTAGAAACAGACTCTGTAAAGGCCCTCAGATACTGAGACATTGTAAGAATTAAGGTGTTGCCAGGATAACAGGAATGTGAGGGGTGTATCGAATCTCTTCAAGATTTTTTCTAGAAACACAAAATCTCCATTGTCATCTAATACTGGTCGAAACCCTCGAATTTTATTAACAGAGATTAGCTTCCAGTATAGTAGAAACGCAACGACTATCCCCTTCGAAGAAACCTGCGAAGTTAATTTCACCACACCTTGTGAAAACCTCTCGACCCCACAGATGCTCCTCCGAATTGTAGGAATTAATATTTGCTACCAGGATAACAGAAACGCGAGGAGGTATCGAATCTGCTCCCGATATAAAGCTGGCGGGAAATTAAACTCGTCTTGTTAAGACATCTGGTCGCTTGTGCGATCCTGATGTTTCTAAAAACACATGATGTCCACCCACGATACTCCATGCTGAGTTGGCCTCGAACTGAGATTTGGTGCCAGGGTAACGGCAACAGGAGGATGTATCGAATCTGTAATCTGCTCCCGATATTAAATGGGCGACAAGTTGAACGCCTCTCGTCGCTTCTGCGATCCTAATACCAGGTTGTTAGAAAAAGACTATGTAAATACACTCATCTAATACTGGTCGAAACTCTCGAATTTTAGGAACCAAGATTTGCTTCCAGGATAGTAGAAACGCAACGACTATCCCCTTCGAAGAAACCTGCGAAGTTAATTTCACCACACCTTGTGAAAACCTCTCGACCCCACAGATGCTCCTCCGAATTGTAGGAATTAATGTTTGCTACCAGGATAACAGAAACGCGAGGAGCTATCAAATCTGCTCCCGATATAAAATTGGCATGAAATTAAACTCGTTATACCTCTGGTCGCTTGTGTGATCCTGATGTTTTTAGAAACACATGATCTCCACCCACGATACTCCATGTTGAGTTGGCCTAGAACTGAGATTTGGTACCAGGATCAGGAGGATGTATCGAATCTGTAATCTGCTCCCGATATTAAATCTCCTCTCATCGCTTCTGCGATCCTAATTGTTAGAAAGACCCTCAGATACTGAAACCTTGTAGGAATTAAGCTGTGCTGCCAGGATAACAGGAATGTGAGGGGGTATCGAATCTGCATCTGCCGCTGATATGTAATTGGCAGAAAATTAAACTCATCTCTTCAAGATTTTTTCTAGAAACACAAAATCTCCATTGTCATCTAATACTGGTCGAAACCCTCGAATTTTAGGAACCGAGATTTGCTACCAGGATAGTCGAAACGCAACGACTATCCCCTTCGAAGAAACTTGCGAAGTTAATTTCACCACACCTTGTGAACAGATACTCAGGCTGAAACCTTCGAATTGTAGGAATTAATACTCGCTACCAGGATAACAGAAATGCGAGGAAATATCGAATCTGCTCCTGGTATAAAATTGGCGGGAAATTAAACTCGTCTTGTTAAGACTCTGGTCGCTTGTGCGATCCTGATGATGTTTTTAGAAACACATGGTCTCCACCCACGATACTCCATGCTGAGTTGGCCTAGAACTGAGATTTGGTACCAGGATAAACAGGAACAGGAGGATGTATCGAATCTGTAATCTGCACCCGATATTAAATCTCCTCTCATCGCTTATGCGATCCTAATACCAGGTTGTTAGACCCTCGATATTGAAACCTTGTAGGAATTAAGATGCGTTGGCAGGATAACAGGAATGTGAGGGGTATCGAATCTGCACCTGCCGCTGATATGTAAGAGGCAGAAAATTAAACTGATCTCTTCAAGATTTTTTTAGAAAAATAAAATCCCCATTGATCATTTAATACTCCTGGTCGAAACCCTCCAATTTTAGGAACCGAGATTTGCTACCAGGATAGTAGAATCGCAACGACTATCCCCTTCGAAGAAACTTGCGAAGTTGTTTCACCAGACTGTTTAAATGTTCATTTTTGTTGCTAGTTTTTCTGGATAAATTATATGGGACATGAAACGCACAAATCAACAATTACGTTTTATTAAGAAAAAAATTGAATATATTTTCAAGAAAGGAAACAAGAATGTATGGAAAAGTAACATATACAATACCTACGACTCTAGATTGGAGACCCTTCGAGAAAAGCTAAAATGCTTTGTATCTATATACGTTTACAGCACAATTAAGACAATAAATAATCGCTTTTGAAAAAATCTCATACATTTTAATACAAATTGTTACGAAATAATTCCTTTACAACTACAATCATTCCTGTGAATTTTCATAATTTACAAACATTGTTTTAGCACTTAAAGTAAACAAATCTAAAGATAAATTTTTAGTCCTTCAACGCTGATGTTTCTTCCTTAATTTTATCCTTTTCTGTCGTACCACTGGCAGCGGAAATTGCTGATTTGGTAATACTGGGATTATTTGTGTTATTCAGACCTGACGAGTCATTCATCTTTGAATCCTCTGACTTGTCGTTCGATACTGAAACAAACATTTATCGAATAAACTTCACATCATATACAGTAATGGACAGAAGTATATAGACAAATTAATATTGTACTGTATTTCTTTTTTAACTTGTTTTATTAATAAACCAAGCTGTATACATAATTCGTTATTGCATAATACTCACTTATACATAAATAGATTCATTAGACTCCCTTCAATCAAAAATTAATTGAAAAAACTGGAACTATGAAGGACAAAAATATATAGACAAAGCAAAACAATTATAGAAAAAAGAAGCAAAGTTCACTGAATTATAGAAAACCAACCATGTTTGTGTTAATATTTTGTAGCATAACCATTATTATCAATCACCGTCTGGCATCGTCTCGGCATAGATTGTAGAAGTTTCTCGATGTAAGATTCATCCCTGTTTGAATAATTTTTATCTCGTAATTGCATATCTATAGATTTTCAATAGGGTTTATATCGGGAGACTGTGAAGGTCATTTGAGAACTGGTATTTTTTCATCCAGAAAGAATTTCTTTGCGAGATTTGAAGTGTGCTTCGGGTCATGATCTTGCTGGAAGATTAATCTTAGGGGCATATTGTTTTCCATATAGGGTAACATGACATGCTTTAGTATGTCTATGTATACAAACTTAGCCATAATGCCATCTATTCTACGTAAAGGTCCCATCCCAAACCCTGAACAGCACTCCCAAACCATAACAGACCTGCCTCCATGTTTGACAGTGGGAAAAGTGTACTTGGGGTTCAATCTTTGTCCACTGGGACGTCTTACGTAATTAACACCATCTGATCCAAACATATTGAACTTGGATTCGTCACTGAAACATACCTTCTTCCAGTCACAGGTGCTTCAATCAAGATGCAACCGTGCAAATTGTAATCGGTCCTTACGGTTTTTCCTCGAGATTAGCGGCTTCTTACTCGGGCGACGTGCAAATAACTTCAAATCATTTAATCTTCTACTTTTAGTTTTCGTAGAAACACTGGCAATTCCTTTTGTCTCGATTTCGGCTTTTATTTGTCTTGGGGTTTTAAACGGATCTTTGGGCGAAATTACTTTTATTAATCTACCTGATCTAGCATTTAGTTTTCTAGGCCGACCACTTCTCTTAGAGGCCTCCAAGATACCTTTTTGTTTATATTTGTTCAAAATATTGACAATAGCCCAAACTGATTTACGCTTCAGCTTCAAATTTTTGGCAATGTTGACTTGTCGCTGGCCACCTTTGTATCACTCAGTGATCTTAGTTTTCACATCGGAAGAAATTTCTGGACCACTCGGCATGGTCTTAAAATCACTCAACTTATTCCACAATACTTGATGAACACAAGCTATTCCTCTTCTGACACGAAACTGTACTAAACTAACGTTGAAAAGAATTTGTCTACATATTTTTGTCCCTCATAAAAAAGTGCTTATATTCAGACTTGTGTTCATTGCAGATAATGTAAAAACAAGGAATTTAGTTTTTCTATCAATAACGCATTTGTTTATGGAGCAATGAAGTATGAATTATTATTTAGGTAAATATTCATATTTGTCTATATACTTTTGTCCAGTACTGTATATACTGCACTCAAAATATCCTGACGGATTTCAATAGTCTCATATGCAGGGTGTCCCAACGAAAATTGAAAGTAGTTTTATTTTATACACAATGAAAGACACTCGAAAAAGGCTTTTGCAGCAAGATTGATATCTGATATACAGGGTGTTGCACAATTTTGTGACGAAGCAAACCCATGTAAGTAGCCTTGGGCTGAGCAGAGAACTGTGACAAGTTATTGTTTCCACTGGATGTTAATAGGTGGCCAAATAGTTGATTATAGAATGTTCCAGAATTTCATAAATAACCAACTAGTATAAACCTTGTCAAAATAAATCTTATAAAAAGGTAAATCTGATGGTGTAAAATGTACAGTGTATTCCATTCAAAATCTTTTGAGAAAAACATTTTGCGTTTTGCACCACCCTGTATAAAGGACCTTTATAAATATCTCATAAAATATTGTTGTGTGTGAATTATGTATATTGAGAAAATCGCAAAAATACTTTGTTATCCTCCACGCATTTAAAAGAATGATTATTGACGACCACTTTTCACAAAATAAAGTAAATATAACAGAAAAGCATAGAAAGCTAAAACAATAACTTATTTAATTGAAAGGATATCGTCTTGGAGACATTTTTCTAGGCAGGATCCAAATTTTTTTTTGTATTTATTCAAAATACTTGAAATTGGTACCTCATATGAATTTGTGGTGAATCACTTACTCTGTCCGCCATAATATTGCCTGTTCGGAGCTTTGTAGCCGCCGGGATTACCACTTCTGTGCTTCTGATTCACGGAATTATTTTGTTGCATCTGTTGGTAATTTACCGGTCTCTGTATCGGCGGGGGATACCTTTGAATCTGTCGTAAGGCAAGTATTCAATGTCAAAGTTCGATTTTTACGATAAAAAAAATACTACGAGAGGATATTTTTATGTGATCTACCTGACTATGATTTGGAACATGCTTCCAATGTAGCGTTTTTCTCACCAACTAGTACATTATTACAGTCCTTTTTTAACAAACTTTAGCATTGATGAAAATTTAGCGAATGTACGACTTGTGGACAAGGCAGAAGCTATTTATATTTCTAGATTCGATCTCCGCCCCAAAATAGAGACAATTTAATCAAAAATAGGGTTCTAGATATCGTCTTACCCTCAGGTATTTATAACCAGTTGGGGTAAATTTTCACGTAATTTAAAAATTTCGACATCCAAAATTGTCTCAAAGTTTAGGTTTGTGTGGTTGATTAAGCAAGACTTTCAATCAGTTACTGTCAAGCGCATTTTGTGTGTTTTTTGAAGATTTATTTAGCATTAATGCTACAATGTCAATCTTGTATATTTTTTACATTTTCTTTTTAATTTTACATTGTCTATTAAAATTTCATCACTATGCATTTTGGGTACTCGTGAAGCGGTTTTTCACCTTGGACATTTTAAAATTCTAACATTATTCAATTTATTAAATTCAAATTTCCCCTTTTGAAATACAGATTCTAGTTTCATAGTTATGACAACGATTGTTCGATTTTATGAAGTTTTCTAAATGTGGTGATAATGAATGATTTTTAATTCAATCAATGCAGTAATAACAGAATGTTAGCATATTTGTTTTTATTTAAAATTATCCTCGCCTATTTGTAAAATTTGTGATTTTGAAAATATGCTGTAAACAAAATAGTTGAATAATATATTTCAATCAAACACTGATTGTATATTTTGTTTCATATCATCACACAAAATTTATAAGCATGACTCCAATACAGGTCGACCTTTTTTTGACCCTTTTTTATGAAATTTTGAAGGTTACGCTATTTTGCAGACAGCTTGTACATAATAAGCAATAATGTATGCTTAATTTTCATAGCTAGGTAGATTATATAAAAATACACCTCTTATTTTGAGTAGTTTTTCAATCACTGTTACTGTAGGAGTGCCTGGAGGATAACAGAGCAATACACAATAAAGGTCAAGCGTCGATCGTGTATCAAAGTTCTTAAATACGCCAATCTCATTTCAGACCGCTGTCATTTTTCTCAAAAGCTTGCTGCACTCTATCAACAATTATTATGCTTCATTGCATACTGTCGATTCACTTCTTTACGAACTTTCTGAAGGCGTCTCGGAAATATACATAAAAATATCCCCTCGTAATAAGCCTATCTGCCAAATATCTTACAGGCATTTTATACACTTCCATAAAACAATTGAGGTTTTACTTTTCCAGTCCTTGCATCTGTTAGGAACTCAAAGAATAAAATAATTGTATTTTAACAAAATCTAGTACAAGACAGTTTTAAAAAGTATGTCCATATTTGAATATACTGCTGGCAGGAAGTGTTATCTTGGAACATGTGATCAATATATTTTACCACTAAACTACGGGTAATTTATATAAACCTGTGTCCAATGTATTTGACACAAAGAATACAGATAAGAAAAACACTTATTTTATACTTACATTTGGGTTTTGTTGATTACCCACAGCTTGGTACAGGTTGTATTTTTGTTGAGCAGTGGGGCTCGATTGGGGAGGGGGCTGCTTCATGTTCTGTCTTGATTTTGGCGAAGGGATTTGGGGTCCTGAGCAAAACACAAACATTGCATTAGTAAACATTTAATCAGTTCAGCAGCGGATACAAGGTAATCTTTACACTTTGTGATTATAGAAAAATGATTCAGACAAACTTTTCATCACAATCTCTGGCCGTCTTTTGTTCTTTGGATTTCCAGAAAGTGAACAAATTGTTTTTCAATATGAAATACTACTTTCTATCAGTATTTTCAGTGTTTTTCACTGTAAAACCTTCTTCCATACACCCCTGTCCCTCATAAGTTTTCTAGCTGTCTCTCTAGCTGTACAATTATAATAGCGATAGTTAAACGCAGCACATGGTACATTTAATCAAGTTTATTTCGTATGGCATTGTAATATAACCGTTAAAGATATAACACAGTTGTGATGTGTGGTACTGGTTATAAAATTTGAGAGAACCGTCACCCTTAATGTGCTTTGTGTATCACTCTGCGAATGTCCAAAGTCTTTAGTGAATATGATAATTACCAGTGTTAAAAACTGAAGATAGCACTTCCTGGCTACCAGGGCTTTTGAGCTGTTGAGCTCTGGTTGCTTGGTCTCCCATTTGCTGTCCAGCAACGCCTTTCATGTAGGCAGCGGCCGCAGCTGCAGCTGGCAAGCCCGAACGGAACTGTTGGGCATTCAAAGCTGCCGCTACCTAATGGAAAAAAAAAGGGATAAGTCAGTTATTAAAAGAAATGCACATTATATAAACGCCGAATATAATGGACATTCATGGTTGTTTGAAGGGTATGATACCAGAATAGTAGATAGTGTTGTACTCGCTATAATACAATTAGTTTTCAATGACGATTAAAGCCACAATCAGGGAGGAGTCTTTGCAGATTCTTTCTAAATGACAAATACGATTTCAAGACGGCATTTTAAAGAAAAAGCTGAGACAAATTAATGACAATATATGAATTTATGCGACCTAAAAGTGACTTTTTATTTCATTGTTTTGTGTTACTACATATATTTATGTATGTATACACTTTGTATATATCTAAAGGTAACAAACCACAAGTTTAAAGTTTTTTGTTTATTTTAAAAATATTTATATATACTAAGTGACATATAAATCCGAACACCCAGTTTAAATGGTTTTATTTTAATAAAAGTTGGTGAATGTATTTATCTTACTGTAAATAACAAGTGAAAAAATTTTCAGCCTTATCAGTTGGACATTCCGGTTTTTATACTGCTTTTTTTTTAATTCATTAACGCTCTAAAAATGAATATTTCAGCCGCAGTAAAGAATCAACGGTGGCGGATTTTGGTTCTTGACATCCTTTACGATCGGTTACGATGCCTAGAGTACGGAGACCTGTACGATTTCGTCAACTTAGTGAGTTTGATAGGGGCCGTATAGTGGGACTTCGGGAAGCTGGACTTTCTTTTCGGGCAATTGCAGTTAGAGTGCAAAGAAGTGTAGACACTGTGGTTAGGTGTTGTCAGGCATGACTTCGAGAAGGCCGTACGCAAAGAGCAAGGGGCACTGGACGCCGCCGTAGAACAACATACCGTGAAGATCGCCGCCTAAGATTATTGGCCTTAAGGGACCGTTTCTCCACTACCAGGTCCATTGCAAATGAATGGTTTGCAGAACACCTATTGGCATGCGAAATGTTTACCGACGAATGAGAAGTTTTGGCTTGTTTTCATACCGGCCACACTGGGTCCTCCCTTTAACTCGAGAACACCGACGTAATCGCCTTGAGTGATGCAGACAACGGTCACTCTGGGATCAGGAATGGAACAGTATTGTCTTTAGTGACGAGTCTCGATTTTGTTTAGGCATGCACGATGGTCATGCCAGGGTTAGAAGGCGACGTGGTGAAAGGAGGAATCCACAGTTTTTTGTTGATTGACATGTTCATCACACTGTTGGAGTTATGGTTTGGGGTGCTATAGCTTATGGTTCCAGGTCACCTTTAATCTTCATCAGAGGTAACATGAACGCCCAGCGTTATATCCACGAAGTTCTAGAACCCCATCTTTTACCCTATCTTGACACCCTGGCAGATCCAACTTTCCAACAAGATAATGCCCGACCACATGTTGCAAGAGTCACAATAGACTTCTTTCAACATAATGATGTCACATTGTTACCATGGCCACCAAGATCTCCCGACTTACCCCGATTGAGCACGTGTGGGATATGATGGGTAGGAGATTGCTCAATTTGCAACGTCTTCCTCAGACTCTAGAAGCACTTCGAGAGGAGTTGGTGGTTTCCTGGAATGAGATACCACAGGAGGACATTGGCCACCTGATCAGAAGCACGCCTAGGCGCGTTGGAGAATGCGTAGCACATCAGGGTGCATCCACCCATTATTAAAGGTCAAAGGGCTTTAAAGCAGTGCAATCATTTTGAAATTTTTATCATTTACTTATTATGCTTCATTAAGTACTTATACAAAATTTTATTAAAATAAAACCATTTAAACTGGGTGTTCGGATTTATATGTCACTTAGTATACATATAAATTTTAAATGCCTCAGTTTCTGTAATATATTCAGTTTTCATTAAAAACCCCTCATCACTGTACATATCAAAAACATATTCCCTGACTTGGGCGTGGAAAACGCGACACTTTTCGGATTCATATATGTAAGGTGTTAGGTAAGTCAATAGCGGTTATCAGCGTCATGTTTCTCACCTGCATGGGCGTCGTCAAAAAATGGGAGTTGTAGCTCTGCAATCCGGTGCCGGTGTGCGACTGGCCGTGCGAACCGAACACGTTCCCTTGCAGACCATAGCCGGCCTGGTGCTGCGAAAGTTGCTGGGTGGATTGCATGGACGAGTTGCCGGGTTGTTGGAAGTAACCAGTTTGACTGGTCGATCCAGAGTAGTATGAAGACGATGGCTGCAAGCCCTGAGAATAAGGAAAGATTCAAATAGTAAGAATACGACAATTAATGTCAATTAGTCACGAAGACATATCGGCACGGGTATCATGTAAAAAACCTATAAAACATAAAAAAACGTATAAAACGTCAAAAAAAAAAAACAACCTATAAGATGTCATCTTGCAAACTAGGTAGTGTTTAGGGCGCAAACAGTCATTCCACGTTTGCTCACTAGGATCGTTGTGAACGTCCATCTAAGGAGGAATCACTCAACTAAACTACCCCCATTATTGGTTGCATATGTTTTGTGATTCCAAATGGTCCTTGTCTGTAGTTTTTATCTCGGAGAAGAAAGTTGATTAAATAGCAAGATCGAATCTGGATGATTTATGTGTATTGGTCTGAATGTGTATAAAATCAGTGATATTTGCTGTGTGAGAAAATCATTACTGAATATGCTAACAAAGAAATATATGTTGACTGTGCCCGACGGGGTATTTTTATGTTGTGCTTTCTGATGAGAGGTTATGTTCAAAGTTATAAATTACGAAAAAACTGAGCAGAATTACGGGAAATCATCACCGCGCCCGCGTTGGGTGTAATACTGTTAGCATGTACATGGCGTGTAATTTGACACTGTACAGTGAATATAATTATTTCTTATCTCTCTCATTTTTGAAATTCAGCAAATTTGTATATGTAATTTCCAGAATGGATAAGAAAAAGTGGATGCGCAACTAATTTCTAGCTTTGAATCTCAATTAAGTGTATTTGAGACAATAACCAATTATCATAAACACATACAACTTACAACTTAGACCTCCAGTAATGCCATCTCATTTTTTATAAAAAAAAACTTGCTAATACCAGAATGCTACGAACGATTTGCGGGAAGAAACACAAAAAAATAGGTATTTCGTGTAGTTTTTTTTTAGATATCTGCTAAACTTTTTCTATCTAGCCTGAAGTACTTGTCCAACACACTATTAATGGATAACATAACTCGTCGGGAAAAAGCAAAAAAGTCAGTTATAGACTCACCTGTACGGCTGCAGCTGCCGCAGCCGCAGCGACGCTATTCTGCACCGCAGCCGAGCTGGGATTGCCCGAAGGCGGTCCGCCCCGCATCCCCGGTCCGCCTGCCGCAAGATAATTGGCGGCCGCGGCGGCGATCGACGGGTCGTACATCGCGTACGCGACTTGCTGTTGCTGTTGTTGCTGCTGCTGTTGAGATTGCTGGCTGACCGCAGACTGCTGTGCGGGGGAGGGCTGGAAGGCTTGGCCGACGCCGCCCGCCTTCGTACCTAAAACAAACAAATGGAATTAGTCAGAAAAAATAAACACAAATGCAACACGACCATTATTTGTGAGGCTCATGTCGTTGCTCTGGATATCACGAAAGCCCTGGATCAGCTGTGGCATGCTGCCCTCTTATGCAAACTTCCAGAGAAGCTTTACAGATGAGTGGGTGGCTTTTTCCCTGGCCGCAAGATATCCGTCGTAGTTGAAGAGTTCTCCTCTTCATCCCACAACATCAACGCGGGTGTTCCCCAGGGATCGATCTTGGCTCCGACGCTGTTCCTCCTACACATCAAAGACCTCCATGCAGGAATTCAGAGCGGCAAACCGATCTCTGCCAATGAGCTGGAAAGAAGAAGTCTAGCAGCGACTTCCTCTTTGACGAGAGACCTGGAGGTTATGCTTGGAGTACAGTTTAATGGTTCCAAAACAGAGCACTGTTTCTTGACGAATAAAAAACGTCCTGGCGCTCATCCGGTTTCGATGCATGGCTGCATTCTGCCAAAGAGCCGTTAATTTCGGCTGGTCGGAGTCCAGATCACCGGGGACTTGATCTGGAACAACCACATCTCATTAATAGCGGCAGCTGCTGGAAAAAAGCTAGACTATTTGTTTAGGGCTAAGAAGTACTTTATTCCACATGACAAGGGTCAGATTAGACCTAGCCTCGAGTATTGATTAGACGTTTGGGACCCTTTTGCACCGGCGGGTCGTCGGCGATCTAGCTCTCTTCTACCGCTAGACCAACGGGATTTGCTCCTCTATGACGCCGCCGCGCGGTGTGCCTGTCAGACAGCCCCGCACTGATTCCGTCCTCCCATCCTATCCGTGTCGAACTTAGTACATCCAGAACTGGCTTTATTCTCATTGTTGGAGCTCAAACGCGCAGATGTTTCACCTCGCCATCTCAAGGCTAAACTGTTGTGACAATATTTTGTCACGGGACAAACAACACGGTTCCCTTCAAGTGTCGAAGTGCTACTTCTCGCGCTCTAGATCCGGAAAAAAAGTAGCAACATTTTAGTCGAAGATTGCATCAATATTAACCGGTGTGTTACAACAGTTCTGGGCTTTTGGCATTTTCGGAACTACGGATTAGGGTGACGTATCTGGTACATTAAAAAATCGACAGTTCATCTCATACTCGCTTGTCGTTTTGGGGGGCTAGACGTTCTTTTGGGATTGGGAACGCCTACACCAGGCGGTCCTGATCTATGCTGGTTTTGCGTTGTACCATCTTAAAATTTGGAATGCTGACGTCGCGCAATCTCGGCATGCTACGGATCTTTCAAACTATTGCAGTAACTCGGTTTAGGAAAATGAAAATGAAGTCACCTGGAAGACAAATAAATAAAATATTGTCAAAAGTGTCATGTACTATCATAGTGACCGAAGCGTTTAGTACATTAAAGCGGAATTTCAAATATAAGTGGTTTCATTAACCAAACATGGGAGATTATATACCACTCACCTATTGCACTAATGGTTTGCCCGCCAGCAGGTTTCACCGACGACGCCGACATGAGGCTGTTTGTAGTAGAGCTGATCAACATCGTAGACGGGTTGCTCAACTGGCCACCTTGACCGAACGCGGCCGATAATCGGTAGTTCGAATACAAGTCGGGAGGTGGCGCTTGAGCCGTTGCTGCCGTTGGAGGGGGAGGTGCGTGAGGGGGCCCTGCCTGAAAATACAAATTATGAATTCAAGTACATGTATTACATCGTCTGAAAGGACTTTTCATGTAGAATAAGAGATACCATTGTGATTTTTCTAATTTGACGTCTGATCAGAGCGTCGTTGAAGGTTTGCAATTTTTAGGATGTTTAGATTGTAATACGTATTTGCTACATCATCAAACTTTGGCAAGGCACAGATACAAATGAAATCAAGAGAAACATTGACAGTGATATACAATCAATCAAAAAATAGTGATACAATAATTATTTGACATTCGATGCTAACAAGACAAAATTTATGACTTAAATGCAAGGAAGACAAATAAATACCTGCAGGTAGACAGACTGGGTAGTATAGGGACTGCTGGCCGTCTGTCCTAAGCCCCCGTGCGCGTGGTACGCAGACGGGTACTGCGAAAACTGTGACCGGCCTTGGCCGATCTGGTCTATTTGGAAAGCGCCGTACAGACCGGCAGCTGCGGTTTGATGCGCAGCAGCGGCTGCCGCTTGAAGCTGCTGCTGAGTCGATTGGCCGTACACCAACGGCACCGTGGGGGGCGAAGGGATAGCTGGGATGCCGTATTGGGTGCTGCCGGACAGGCTCGCCTGGAACAATTGTAAAAATTGGGATATTTCACGTGATCACGATTTAACTTGAAATGTTATATACCTTTTTGTAATTGTAATGTCGTTGTTTATTTTACATGTATACGTATTTTTCCGGCATATTTGCTCATCCGCATATATGACCTTCAGTTGCATACTGACAAGTCTTATATCATGTAACACGTTCTAATAATTCAATAAACCATCTATCTTTCTATAACCTCTAGCGGAGGTTTTACAATTCGTTAATATTTGGCCTGTTTGTATATCTAATAGGTGTGAAAGAGAAAACACGATTTTTTTTCGAGGCACGTTCATTTGCTGAGTAACGAGTATTTGGATTTGGGATTCTTTCAAGGAATTTATTCGAATTGAAAAGTATTGTATTGCAATCCGAAACAGAATTTTATATAGGAATTTTTTTATAAAAAAAACAAATTTAGAATTTAAAAAAAAACAAGATGCTAAACCGAAAGTAAACATTTCAAAATAAAATTTGGGAAACATCGCATTTTTTGGTTTTCAATTTTTGTACTTTAAAATATACCCTGTGTGTTTAAAATACATCAGAAGTCTTAAAATGGTATGCGCATTAAATAAGGAGGTACGTATTCTTAAGTAAATAGATGACGTTATGCGCTTATTTAGGTCGACTGGTTTGCGAGATATTGCATTAATAGGCTACACTAAGAATATTTTTCAGCTCAAATAATCATTTTAAATATATTTTGACGTGAAATGAAGGTTTTTTTACTATATTCTAAAATATTCAAAATTTGAAAAAAATAGTGTGCAAAACCGGAAATAATCGCCTTAAGCCATAATTTGGGTAACTTCCACCAACTTTATTCTGAATCTTTCCCCCAAAATATAGCTTAAACTATGTATGAAATACACTAGAAGTTTTAAAATGGGAAGAGCATTCACTTAGGAGAGATATTTTTAAGGTGTGACAAGAATTACTTGCCTTTCAATGTCAATAAGACAAAATTCATGACATTTAAATGATCCCTAGATTTTATGGATTTGAAATGATACACAAAACAGACAGAATCAAATTTTCGGGATTGACCATTGATCATAAAGGAAGTAGATTAAAATATAGCATTACCTTTTGGTGTGACTGTTCCCAAAATTGTTAAAAAAACTAACTATTAGATATATAACTAAAAGCATAGTTTAATGAGTGGTAAGTTTCTACGCTACTGATTTAGAATAAGACGCGCATATTATTCAATTACTATTGTAATGAGGTGCCACAGTATTTTTTACATGCCATATAGTGTTTACAATAATTATCAAGTTTCACGGTGTTCTCAGAATAGGGGAGGTTAAACCTTTTTATAAAAATATTTTAGGATTTTACCTCAAATATTCAAACCTAAATATCTCCAAAACGAGTTATCTGCCAAAAATTCCTTAATAGACAAAATTTATGGAAAATTGAATGTTGTTTTGTAAAATACACTGTTTTCTCCGGATAAAAAGCCAATGGCGTAGAAAATATTTCCTATTTCCAGATACCTCAGTTTCTGCGTCGCTGGTTTAATTTGAGCCGAAAACTGTGTGTTTCTTCCTGATGAACGTCTAAAATCCTAAATTGCGTGAATAAAACTTGATCACCCTATATTTCGGTAGCGGAGCCACTTTTTTATGTTTGCATGTTCTTTCAACCTTACAAATACTGGCACGTGTTGCATTTTATCAAATAAATAATTATTATTTATCTATCTATCCTAGCAATGCATAAGAAACAAAAAAAAAACACTCACCTGATACCCCATGTGCTGATTGGTCGTGTACTGTTGCGGTCCTAATCCGACGCCGGCTGCTGCTGCCGCTGCCGCCGCGGCGCCCAACACCTGCGGCATCGGCGGCGGTGGCGATAACGGATTTCCCATCAGGCCGGGGGCTACCATGGCCCCACCTCCGCCGCTGTGCTGTTGCCCGTGGCCGCCGGACGCTGCGCCCAATACAGTTTGAGCGGTGCCGGTACCGCCTGTACCGGTACCACCGGATACTTGCTGCGTCGGTTTCACCTGAATAAAACATGCTTGCTAAAACACAATTTTTTTCAAATACCTTGTAATCAGATTCATGTAAAAATTTTGCAGACCATCTGATCAGAAAGTCTGGTATTGCGGACAATATTGTTGAGATATCTGCATATTCACTCATTACAAAAACTTACCTTGCACACATTAGTTGTTGTGCTGACAGATTGGTTTGGTGATGAGGTGTACGCGTCGTGATGATGGTGAGCCTCGTCAGAAGCATCCTTGTTCTGATTGAACACATTAGAATCCAACGGAGGACCCACAAAACTGTAAGAAGTCAACGAATTACCAAAAATATAATATGTAAAAATTACTTTTTAATGACTTTAAAAATGTCTCTGTAGTTGCCTTAATCAAATACATCTCTGTAACAAATGCTTCTACTCCCACGGTTTCATGTAAATTACAAGAAAAAAAGCATCCAGTATATATTTGAACATACCTCATCTCCTCACTCTCCTGCTCCGAGGTTTCCCACACCTTTTTCACTGACGCTATCTTTATATCCAAGCTGTCCACAGTATTGTTACCGCTGGCTATAGCGTGTATAGATTTCGCCATGCACAAGTTCTTTCCTTTGTCATCCGAGGATGAAAACTGCAAATCGGAGCCGAAAAAGTCCAGCTTCATGTCGGCAGAATCTTCTTTGAATAAGGGTAGTTGGATACCGCCGTCGGACTTCGTATCCTGATCAACAATAAAAATATAGTTAGTTCTATTCTCGACACTTTGCATTGACGCGAATTTCATATATCAAATTTGATAGAAGAAATGTTACAGTATTTGGCTTAGAAAATGAAATATATCGATATCAATTTTAGTCGATTAAAAAAAAATATTTTTTATTTTGAATATGAAAGAGTGAAAACACTATCGGTCATGATGTGACGTCATACAAATTGTAAACAAAGAAATGTAATCTGTACGTCACTCGTCGACTAACGTTGCCTTGTTCAGGTATTTCTAAAAAAACTCCTGATCAATATGAAAAGTTTTATTGAAAAAAAAACAATTATGGACGTTGGCTTCGTAAAAGTACATTGATGGTTGATACAAACCTTGTTTTGCAGTAGTTCGTTGATGACGCCGGCCTTGTTGAAACCGCCCATCATGGCGGAGCCGTCGATGACGCTCCCTGGAGACGTAGCGCTCTCCTCCAGCTTCCCACCGCTGCCGGTAGAGGCGCCGACGGGGCCCGTGCGAGGTTTGCTGTCAGTGCGAGTCGATCTCGCTCCTGGAGCTTGCTTGAAGTTTGTGTTCTCGAAGATTATCGTATTTACAGGGGGTGTGGCACCATCCAGCAAGGGCTTGTCTTGGAGCTGCAAGTAGATTTAAAATGCTGCTTATTGTCTATATTGTAATTCAGTTTATCCATATTCATACGATTTAGTCAGAAACTGTAAAGCGAGCAGTGATATAAATGTTTTGAAAAAGTTATATTGTGCATATATGTACGATCTAGGTTGGAATATGCTTCTTAGTTTGGAAGCTGTTCTATATAGGTACTCAGCCACATACATCTATAATGCAGCGGTCGAATTTCTATTTACCGCCAAAATTTTATGAAAGTATACCAAGGTTTAAAAAAATTACATTTCGGAAATTATTTCAATGGAAATTTGAAAAAGTGATTACGTTCTACAGGGTGGGCCATAAAGATGTTTCCTCAATTTCAATATTCAATTAAAAAATAACTACGCAATATAAAAGAAAAATAAATGTATTTTTAAAAAGTAGAACGGAATTTTTAAGACTTAAAAATAATTTTGGTCAAATGAGTTCCTTCAACTACTTGGCACTCTTGAAACCGAAGCTGTAGATTTTGGAAAACTCGTTGAAAAGTTGTTCTCGGTATTTTGTTACTTTCCTGAACAATATTCCTCTTCAGCTGCTCTAAATTAATTGGATTATTCTCGTAGACCACCGATTTGAGGTAGCCCCCGATTTATTGTTTTCATAATACACTAGGACACAAAATGCACGCCGCGCTCCCGTGTATGGCGACTAACTTTCCAGGCAACGGCGCGGCTAACAGCTCATCGCCTCGCCCTCCAAACCCGCGCCCCGCGTTTCCGAGAAATTTAAGATTTAAATCGCCAACACTCTTATGGCCCACCATGTATATCTAGGACTGAAATTCATAAACTCATAAATACGAACATCAATACATAATCCACTATGATCAATTCTTGCCCTTTTTGTAATCTATATTCTACAGTTACAGCTTGAAATTATTGGCCCATGCATTTATTTACTCATGTTGTTTTCTTTGTACATTGAATAGATACATGTTTTTATTATTATTATAGTATAGGATCCGATCTTATTTTTAGTTTATAACGATTTAATAAATTTAAAACGTACATGGTAATACACCAATCTGTATATATAATTCGTTATAGCATAATACTAACTTATACATAAATAAATTCATTAGACTCCCTTCAATAAAAAAATAATTGAAAAAAACTGGAACTATGAAGGACAAAAATATATAGACAAAGCAAAACAGTTATAGAAAAAAGAAGCAAAGTTCATTGAATTATAGAAAACCAACCTTGTTTGTGTTAATATTTTGTAGCATAACCATTATTATCAATCACCGCCTGGCATCGTCTCGGCATAGATTGTAGAAGTTTCTGGATATAAGATTCATCAATCTGTCTCCACTGTTGCTCTAAAGCGCCAAAAAGTTCATCCTTGTTTGATTAATTTTTATCTTGTATTTGCTTATCACACTTATAAGTGTCATCGGGTCATTATCTTGCTGGAAGATTGATCTTAAGGGCATATTGTCTTCCATATAGGGTAACATGACATGCTTTAGTATGTCTGTGTTTACAAACTTATCCATAATGCCATCTATTCTATGTAAAGGTCCCATCCCAAACCTCAAGCAACCCCAAACCATAACAGACCCGCCTCCATGTTTGACAGTGGGCAAAGTGTACTTGGGGTTTAATCTTTGTCTACTAGAACGTCTAACGTAATGAACACCATCTGATCCAAACATATTAAACTTGGATTCGTCACTGAAACATACCCTCACCGTGCAAATTGTAATCGGTCCTTACGGTTTTTCCTCGAGATTAGCGGCTTCTTACTCGGGCGACGTGCAAATAACTCCAAATCATTTAATCTTCTACTTATAGTTTTCGTAGAAACACTGACAATTCCTTTTGTCTCGATTTCGGCTTTTATTTGTCTTGGGGTATTAAACGGATCTTTGGACGAAATTACTTTTATTAATCTAACTGATCTAGCATTTACTTTTCTAGGTCGACCACTTCTCTTAGAGGCTTCCAAGATACCTTTTTGTTTATATTTGTTCAATATTGCCCAAACTGCTTTACACTTCAGCTTCAAATTTTTGGCAATGTCGACTTGACGCTGACCATCTTTGTATAACTCAATGATCTTAGTTTTCACATCGAAAGAAATTTCAGGACCTCGCGGCATGGTCGTAAAATCACTCAAATTATTCCACAATACTTGATGAACACAAACTAATCCTCTTCTGACACGAAACTGTACTACACTAAAGTTGAAAAAAATGTGTCTACATATTTTTGTCCCTCATAAAAAAGTGCTTATATTCAGACTTTTATTGTGTTCATTGCAGATAATGTAAAAACAAGGAATTTAGTTTTTCTACTAATAACGCATTTGTTTATGGAGCAATGACGCATGAATTCGTTTTCTAAAGGTATTTAGGTAAATATTCATATTTGTCTATATACGTTTGTCCATTACTGTAGATGATTGACAGTGATCAATCAAAAAATAATAATAAAATTATGTAACTTTCAGGGCAAATTCATCAAAATAAGTTCAGTCGTTTTGGCTTGAAAACGAAACATACAAACATACATGCACACTCACGTTTATAATATTAGCAGAAATTATACGTTTATCTCCATTTTGGTTCAACGGTGTAATCATGTTGCCATTTATTTCTCTATTTTGACTTGCCATTTGAACATTGTGTTTTTGTGCTTGGCCGAATAAAATACTACTTCTACAACCACTACTTCTACTGCTACTATGATGAATACTATTTCTCGTCTCTGGCATAAGATAAATTATGAAAATATGAATGAAGTGTTAGAATATTTTTTTTACCTTCTCACTGTTAGGGCTAGCACCCTGGGGAGATGGCTGGCCCGCATCCAATCCCTTAACGTGGTCTATGGAGACACCAATGACGTTATCGTGATCTAGATTCCTCAGCTGCGAACCTAATGGTTTGTCCCAGGCGCACGCGGACACGCTAGCTTGGGACGAGGCAGAATCCTTCATACCATATACATTCAGGCCCTGGATAAAAAAAACCCGTTTAGCATGTCACTGCTTCTCAGTTCATATCAATGGATCGATATCGATAAATTGATGTAACAGTAGCTCAGATCATAAAAATGAAAGAACGCATAAACAGCGAGCAGTTGGGCGAGATTTATAGAGAATTGCATCTTCTACAATATTGGTATGAGTTATTTTTGTGGTTACTCGTACCGTTGCCAATCGAAAATTAAAATCATTTTTAAGATGTCAACCTTACATTGCTGGCAGTTTGAATATTTATTGTGAATTTAATAGATACATTCACGAATCAATGAGTGGCGTTACTATCTGTCTTGCTGTCACTATGTAGAATGAGACTGTCTGCCACTTCATCTAAGAACAAAATGAAATTTGTAACAATGGGAACTAAAAGATCATCACAGGGTGTAGATTTTCTTCAAAGCCTATAATTTGAGTACGCGACTTATTTTTATTTTCCGTTATATTCCGTTTCCGGCTTGATGTCGACCTACAGTACCGAGCAAAAGTAGAGAAACAAACCACATTACAAATAAAAATCCAGAAAGATTTACTCTAACCCAAAACTGTACACCAAAGTTTTTTATGTATGACTACTTCACGATAATGAAATGCTTATCTTTGTATACATTCTTTTTTTTTCAATATAATATGGTTGGTTCTTTGTTCAACGAGCAAAAGTAGAGAAACATTTTGTAAATATTTAGTTTATATTTAGGCGTTGATTAGAATAGGTGTTATTTTTGAGTGTATTTGGTGAAGTGTAGTTCAAAAACATGGCCAGAGGAATTACATGGAATTTGCAAATAAATGAATTGATTATTTTAACATATCGATCAGGCATTAAACATGACACTAGCTGAATTTAAGCCGATCGGTAATTTGCAAAATTATTAAGCTGTTTCGCCTCCGAAAATCGTTGGTAAGCCGTCCTAAGACTGGTAGACCGAGAAAAAGTACACCTAGGATTAATAGGAAAATTAAAACACTTGCTCTTAAAAATGCATTTACTACTGCTGTCGACATAAAAGCTCAACTTTGACCCATCGTCAAAATTGAAGGAATTATGGACCTGTGGTAATATTAACTGATACCATGATACCTTACGCAAAAGAAAACATGCCGTTACGCTGGTGGTTCCAGCACAACAAAGACCCCAAGCACACAGCGAAAATAATAAAAACATTTTTTTCAGATCACACCAGGCAGCAGCGGTGGCCGCAGTAGTAGACTCTTCGGTCTCCTGATCAGTCGCCGTGCGCTGTGCGGGTTCGAGTCCAGTCCCAGGAGAAATTTTTCAATTGGCTATGGATGTTGTGATTGTCCGTAGGTGGTGGTAGACTGTCGAACGCGGAGGTACCACCCGGCGGATCTCGTAGGCGGAGCCAGAATGTGTGCATGTTGCATGCACACGTGTTCCCTCGCCAGAGTCCGTGTGGCGTTCCCCCTTTCCCATGTATCCCCCTATAGCCCCACGGTACCCAATGGGTGCTTAGGCCTTAGGCCTTCGTGGTAGTTGGAGTATACAAAAAAACAATATTAATGTCATCAAGTGGCCAGCTCAGAGTCCATACCTTAACGCCATAGAGAACCTATGGGATTTAGTTGATAAAAAAATTCGGACTGAACATCCAGAAAAGTTCAAAAATAATGCCGAACTATACTAAGTGACATATAAATCCGAACACCCAGTTTAAATGGTTTTATTTTAATAAAATTTTGTATAAGTACTTAATGAAGCATAATAAGTAAATGATAAAAATTTCAAAATGATTGCACTGCTTTAAAGCCCTTTGACCTTTAATAATGTGTGGATGCACCCTGATGTGCTACGCATTCTCCAACGCGCCTAGGCATGCTTCTGATCAGGTGGTCAATGTCCTCCTGTGGTATCTCATTCCAGGCAACCACCAACTCCTCTCGAAGTGCTTCTAAAGTCTGAGGAGGACGTTGCAAATTGAGCAATCTCCTACCCATCATATTCCACACGTGCTCAATTGGGGATAAGTCGGGAGATCTTGGTGGCCATGGTAACAATGTGACATCATTATGTTGAAAGAAGTCTATTGTGACTCTTGCAACATGTGGTCGGGCAATATCTTGTTGGAAAGTTGGATCTGCCAGGGTGTCAAGATAGGGTAAAAGATGAGGTTCTAGAACTTCGTGAATATAACGCTGCGCGTTCATGTTACCTCTGATGAAGATTAAAGGTGACCTGGAACCATAAGCTATAGCACCCCAAACCATAACTCCAACAGTGTGATGAACATGTCTTTCAACAAAAAACTGTGGATTCCTCCTTTCACCACGTCGCCTTCTAACCCTGGCACGACCATCGTGCATACCTAAACAAAATCGAGACTCGTCACTAAAGACAATACTGTTCCATTCCTGATCCCAGAGTGACCGTTGTCTGCACCACTCAAGGCGATTACGTCGGTGTTCTTGAGTTAAAGGGAGGACCCAGTGTGGCCAAAACAAGCCAAAACTTCTCATTCGTCGGTAAACATTTCGCATGCCAATAGATCTTCCGTGTTCTGCAAACCATTCATTTGCAATGGACCTGGTAGTGCAGAAACGGTCCCTTAAGGCCAATAATCTTAGGCGGCGATCTTCACGGTCTGTTGTTCTACGGCGGCGTCCAGTGCCCTTTGCTCTTTGCGTACGGTCTTCTCGAAGCCATGCCTGACAACACCTAACCACAGTGTCTACACTTCTTTGCACTCTAACTGCAATTGCCCGAAAAGAAAGTCCAGCTTCCCGAAGTCCCACTATACGGCCCCTATCAAACTCAATAAGTTGACGAAATCGTACAGGTCTCCGTACTCTAGGCATCGTAACCGATCGTAAAGGATGTCAAGAACCAAAATCCGCCAACGTTGATTCTTTACTGCGGCTGAAATATTCATTTTTAGAGCGTTAGTGAATTAAAAAAAAGCAGTCTAAAAACCGGAATGTCCAACTGATAAGGCTGAAATTTTGTTCACTTGTTATTTACTGTAAGATAGATAGATACATTCACCAACTTTTACTAAAATAAAACCAATTAAACTGGGTGTTCGGATTCATATGTCACTTAGTATATTTGAAACAATCTGAACTCTATTCCAAAAGAAACAATAGATAGCCTAATTGGTTCTATGAGAAAAATATGTCTAGCATTTATCAAAAATAAAGGTTATGCAACCAAGTATTAGCTTCTTTGTATACGACAATTGCTTTGTATATTATGTTTCTCTATTTTTGCTCGCTGTATTTTCTAATAATTGTTAGCATAGTTTTATTAAAGCAAAAATTTTATTTTTATGTTGGCTATGAATTAAATGTTACATTAAGTTATAATAAAACATAAGTGTTTAGTTTACTTTAATAGTTTAATAAAATGTTTAAACAAATACAATGTTTCTCCACTTTTGCTCGGTACTCCTACTGTATATAAAGAGAAGACAGACAGGGCAAATAAAATCAGAAAGAGATGCCTCGAAAAACATTGCGTCCACAAAACAGCTGACGTCTAAGCAAGGCTGTTCTCACTTAGTCGGAAACAAATGCGTTTTTGAGCCTGCAATCAAAGCTGTTTTTAATGTCTTACCTTATTGATATCAGCGGCCATATCACCAACGGCACCGATCCCCCCACCTGAGCCGGTGCCTCCGTGCTGCTGCATCTGGGCTTTCAGCTTCTGCTTGGCGAACCTCGGAGCCAATTTGGCCGGTCTCGGCCTGCCGTCGAACTGATTCTTGGACGATTGGCAGGGTGGCGGTTGCTGGGACAGTGATGACGTCATGCCGGCGGGCGGGTTCACGGGAGTGCCCATCAGGGGCGGGATGTTCTGGATCAGCTGCTGCTGTTGCTGAGCGGTTAGCTGAAAAAGAATTTTAGGTTGAGGCAGGTATAAAACATACTATTTTGCACGATATTGTCACACGATGCGTTGCGAAAGAATTCATAATACCTAATTGTTCCAAATACATTCAATTCAGCCAAAAAAGCTGACGCCGTCAGCTCAAAATCCATACCAAACAACTTTACAGCAGATGCACCAATTCCGACAAATTCTATTTCCAGACAAATATAGTTTCAATTCGGTTAACGAAACAACTCACCTGAGACATATTTTTGTTCCTCCTATTATCTCTCTCCTTATCCTTTCCGACATCCTTATCCTTGACATCCTTATTCTGTCCGTTTTTACTGGGCTTCTCGTCCATACTCTTCTGCCTTTCCTTCAGATTCTTCTTGCTCTTGACCTCTTGGAACCCTTCGCTATCTCCATTCACGGAAGTCTTCTCATCTTTCTCCTCGTGCTCGGAATCTTTCACGTGACCCTCTGAAGCCGCGTTGTGCTCAGAGTGCTTGTCGTCTTTCCTCAACGAAGAGCTGGAATTCTGCCTGTTCCTGTCGTAACTTCGCTTCTCGTTCCCACCTAGCCTTGCCGTTTGATTATTTCTACCGCCTTCGTTTCTGCTTCTAGAATGAGACGACCTATAATAGAAGAGCATTGTGACCTTGGTATGGCGACCAAAAAGCACATCAGTTTTCACACATTTTTGACACAAATGGTCAGCATATTAAAATGGCTTAGCATTAAACATTTCATCAAGCACCTAGTCACGATTTTTATTTATGAAATGATGTGCATTAATTTTGTAAATGCCGACTAACATTTTTATGATACCGGACACAAGCATGATTTCCAAATGCAAAAACGCAGTATATTTACAAAATCTGTTTTCCATCAAGGTCAAATGGCTTTCAACAAATTAAAACTAGACATAAAACAACAAAATGAAATAAAAAAATTAAATCAAAACTGGGAGACTCTTCTTATGAATTGCAAATAATGATGATAAGGTTTGATTTAATTAATATTGAATGTAATACAAGGTCAGTCGCAAACTGAACAGGACTTTTGAAAGATATCAGATACAAGTAGCGCCATCTATTATCGTTGGATTGGTACATCTTTCATTGATGCCCTGTCAAAATTTCATGACAATCGAACCACTTCACGCGGAGTTATTGCGCTCAAAGTGACAGTACCTTTTTAGCATCGGTCGAAAAATCAGCATCGAACAAAGAGAAAAATTAATTTCTGTATTACAGAAATGCATCACATATTGATGCAAGTGTAGGGTGATGATTGTTTATCTTGTAGCCGAGACGACAAGTCGTTTACACGGTTCAAAGAGAGTCGGGAGTCGCTGGAAGACGACGAACATGTTGGCCAGCCAAAATTTTAATTAGTAGTAGTAGAAAGATTTATTTAGCACATTTGGCTACATAAACAGAATAATTGTAAACAACATAGAACTAGTAAATTCAAGCCATATGGTGTATGATGCAAATGCTGGGCAACCTATAATTGTAGATTTAACAAGTGATTTCTCAATTTTACTTTAAATTTTGTCAAAGTTTTCTGGTCTTTTATCTCCGAGTATAATTTATTATATTCAATCAACCCTTGATGGAATACAGATTTGTAGCATATGTTATACTTTTTGGTCATTAAATGGAAGTCATCTTTATTTCTGGTATTATGTAAATGATGGTCGACATTTGATGATGTTAAATTAGTTAGACTTGATGGAAATATATTATTTTTTACTTTATAAATGAATATCATTACAAGATATTTGATAAAATTTTTTACATTGAGCCATTTTAATTTGCTAAGCATTTGCCTAATTGGAGTATGTATCTTTATTTAGTATTATTCTCATGCACTTATTTTGTAAAATTTGCAGTCTTTCACAAATGGAATTATTTGCTAAATATAGAATAGTCGAACAGTACAAGAAATTTGGAAGAATGATGGTATTATAGATCATTTTTCTGCTATATGAACTCAGACATCCAGAAACTCTCGATAAATATCCCACTTTATTACTAATCTTATTTATAACTTTTTCATAATGAATATAAAAATTAATCGAGAGTCAACAAAAACCCCCAGGTATTTAAAATCTTCTACGAATTCAATATCTTCACCATCAATATTCAGTTGAACATTTGTACATTGTTTTTTCCGATTAACAAGGCTTTCGTTTACTTGCATTTAATTTTAGTCTGTTAGATGCTAACCATTTTGAGACAAGCTTCAAGTCTTCAGTTATATAAGAGATACCAGACTGAATATTTTTAGTACCTATATAAATCATAGTGTCATCGGCGAAAATATGAATTTTGCATTTTTGACCATGACAGGTAAATCAATTATGTATAAAATAAAAAGAAGTGGTCCCAGGATACTGCCCTGTGGAACACCCAACGTATTTTCAATTTTTGATGAAATAGTGTCATTAACTTTGTAACTTGCATCCTTTTAGACAAATAATTTCTAAACCAATCTAAAACACTTCCTGTTATACCATATGCCTTCAATTTACCTAACAAAACATCTCTATCAATCGTTTCAAATGCCCTCTTCAAATCCAAAAATACTGCTATGACAACTTCTTCTGAGTCTACGGCTCTTCTCCAATTCTCAGTTACCAATTGGAAAGCTGTTTCTGTGGAATATTTTTTCGAAAGCCTGCTTGCGCCTCCACTAAAATTTTGTTTTCTTCTATAAACTGCATTAATTGGTCTTGCACTATGGACTCTAATAATTTTCAATGTCTGGTAACACATTTACTGGTCTCATATCTCTGCATCTTTTAGAATTTTTTTGGGAACTGGTGTTATTGTAGAGCATTTCACATTTCCAGGAAAAGAACTGCTTCTCAGTGAACAATTGATCCAATTTAATACAGGATATCCCAAATTTCGAACAGTTTTTCAGCACGTTTTTAGTAGTGATTTCGGCACAGTTGTTATTTGATTTTAAACTGTTTTTACTTTTTTTCTTAGAAATTCAATGATACGCTGGAAACTGATTTTCATATAGTCAGGTGCAGCATTGGCAGTACCCACAGTATCAACAATACTTTCCACAAAATATTCATTTAGTTTGTTTGCAATCACCAAAGAATTTGTTTCGGTACCGTTTTCGAATTGAACTTGATTTACACAATCATGCGGCTTCGAATTGATCAGTCTTTTTAAAGTCTTCCACATCTTTACACTGCCGCACTTGTTATTATCGATCGTATCGTAGAATTTCCTTTTTTCTTCTCTAATTACATATACACATTTATTCCTAAGTACGCCAGAAACCGTCGAAGTCTAAAAATCTTACCTTGGTCCTGTGGTCTGTTTTTATCCCTATTCCTATCATCGTAGCCACCTTCGGGTATAGCATCTCCGTCTCTACCCTTACCACCTTTCGGTCCGCCCCCTCTTTATGTCCTGCCTACCGCCCCTATCACCTCTATCACCCCCTGTCGCTTCGTCCGCTACCGCTTTTCGTCACCGCGGGGACAGCCGGTTTTTCATCGTCTTTCGCACAAACTCGGCGGCCGCCTTTTTGCCTATTATGCCAGCCGCAAGGGGCTTGTTGTTGCTGCTTGATTTTGTCTTCCGAACTGCGTGGTGGTGGTAGTTGTAGTCGTGGAGGTCGAGGCTGCTGTGGAGCTGGCATGCTAAAGAAAAACAACAAAAATGGTAAAAATATGTATATCATTTACGCCAAATAACGGTTTTAGTTTGAGCGTACACATTTTTGAATTGTGAACTGTGTCCAATCTGTTTACGATCGATTCATTTATTTAAGAAAATTTACAATTTATTGAAGACTATTTCTAATGTATGAATCTGTTATTAGCCGATATCGTAATGTATTGAAATTTATTTAGTCAGACATCTGAGGACCTCATGTCTATCCATGCATACTACTGTGATCAAAAAGTAAGGCGTAATTGTTTATAAAATGTAAATTCTTTACAATCATTTCATCCCCTCCAAAGTAATCCCCGTCCGATAACACTCACTTTTGCCAACGGTTTTTTCCAGTCCACGAAGCAATGGGATTATTCTTTTTCTGGTACAGGCCTTCACGACTGATGTTATTTTTTTTTTTGACGTGTTAAACTATTGTAGAGAAGCGTAATGTTTCTCAGCCGCATAAAGGCCAAAGATGTTATCCCAAAAAGGTTCGACAAACTCCATTTTCGAAATTCTGGGGCTGCTAATGAATTTTAAAAATTTCATGAGCAGGTAAAAAAATGGGGCAAGTATATAGTTTTTTACCTGTTGCTGTGAGGAATTGTCAGTGGTGCTCGCTTGCTGTGTGCCCGTCTCCTCTTTAGCACTTTTCTTATCCTTGGTATCTTCATGGGGTGGCTGCTGCTGAACGGGCTCTTCGATGGCGGAGGACCGTACCCATCGAAACGTTTGCCGAGCCCGCCCATGCGGCCTCCAGCGCCACCTCCGGAACGGAACGCGCCGCCTCCACGACCATGACGAGACGGTTCGCCCCTAGGAATAAAAAAAAAACGTATTCAAGATTACATGTTACGTATAAATAAAATAAACTATCGCTAATTAAACCTTGCAACTTTTCACTTGACTTGAAAAATGTCGACTGTTTCCCAAATCTTTCAATGACTCTCACCTAGGTATATAGTTGTCCCTCTTCTCAGGCTTATCCTGTTTCTTCTGCTCTCCTGTCATCTTCTCTTGCTTGTTCTCCTTATTCTTATCATCCTTGTCGAACTTCTTGACCGGTTTGGGACTTCTTTGGCTCTTGTGAGCCGTTGGCTCGTTCTTGGCCTCGATCTTCTGATCCGCTATCGCGTGCTCT